CGCTAGTAGTAATATATTTTTATTTACCATCGGTAATCACCAGTTTTAATATATTGTACCGGTTGCTTTAACCGTGCTTCGCAAGGTAAGGATGAATAAGTAACATAAACTAAGAACCGTTCGGGATCGAACCAGCAAACTTCAGATTTTAAGGAGATCACAATAACCACTCGTTTACTACCCAAGGCCTAAACTTAAGTTAAATAAATAAATAGAAAGTCTACTTATTTTAATTCTTCTCGGTACCTGGGGACCGAGCCACGAACAACTGCTTCTGGCAATGTTTTGAGATAGTTGAATGTAGAACACTTGTTTGAAACAGTGTTTTTCATATGTTAAATGTACCAAATTTAAGAAAACATACCTTTTCCTACAGTTACCTAACAATGTACATGTTCTCACTGATTTGAGAAAGCAAAGTGGCCAATTCGCTTATCAGTGAGACAATGTTAACATTGTCTCACTCCAGATTTGCAACGTGAAGGCACGAAAGTGGCCAATTCGCTCATCAGTGAGACAATGTTAACATTGTCTCACTCTAATCTAATTACTTTGTCTCACTCCAGATTTGCGACGTGAAGGCACGAAAGTTTCCAATTCGCTCATCAGTGAGACAATGTTAACATTGTCTCACTCTAATTACTTTGTCTCACTCCAGATTTGCAACGTGAAGGCACGTTTCTTTACCAATTTATTGGTTTTATGGTAACTGTAGGAAACATATAATGTGCAACTCGAGTGCAAAGTGCAATCGCCTCACTCGAGAAACCATTTCTCTCGAGTTAGGCGATTGCTCACTTTGCTCACTAGTTGCACAAATAACTATAAATTTTAAATAAGGTATGGTGAAAGAAAACAATTCGTAAAATTTTCTCAAAGCAGACAAGTATTACAAAAATACATCTGTTATACATATGTAGCGATAATTGCAGGATTATTTCCGTTTCCGCCTGAATTGCCAAACCTGGTCAATATTAAGAAAATGTGCGAAAATGTAAGTTGTAAAAACAAGCTTATGCCCTCAACCCCAGCTGATTCTTATTTCACCCTAGGAAGGGGTAGTCGATGCTTTTATGCAATTCAATTGAAGACTCTCTATCTAGTCACCTTTGTCAAGAGGCATATTCATATTGCAAGCAATATTCATTTTTTTAACAAATTTTTACATAAAAATCACTTAAGACATAAGACGTTTATTTGTCATTTTTACATGCATGGACAAGTCAAGTTGTTTTCATACAATTGTATTCGTCACATATTCAATGAAATATAATAATACAATAATACAGTGCACATGGCGGGATTGCAAAAGAGTAAGAAAACTATAAAATATCACTATGACAGACGTTGAAAACCACCCTTTAACGCATGTCGCTGTGACTTTGACTATTTATAGCGTATTCATTTTACAACCGACATTTTTAAGTCAGAGTGCATTTTTATAGTTGTTTTTAGAGTTATGCCTTTCAAAATCCTTGATCTAGTGTTTTATCGCCTATGATCGATATAGATCATTGTACATGATAAATTCAATTGGTTTCATTTCTCCTTATAAATCCTCTGATTCAAATTTCATTACCTTAACATCCAAATTCTAACCATCAACATTGAAAATGAGATGAAAATTTAGTCTAAAATAGCAAAAGATTGGAAAGTAAAATTATTCTAGCTTACGTTTTTGAAAACAAAGTAAATAAAATACTTATACAATTTTTACAGTATTAGGGTATATTTTTAGAGTTGTTTTTTGTGAGCCAGAGGGAAGACATTTTCTTACGTAACCATAAACAACTGCCAGTAAGGAATGTAAACCCCTGCTAGAAAAAAGTAAGGTAACAGTAGAAAACACATATTTTTCAACACGGTTTTATTTATAAAAAAACCAGCAAATTGTCATAACAAAATAATAAATTAAAATTACATAATTATGTAGTTTATTACATTCTAACATACAGTATGTAAATTAAGTATTGAAATTGAAACAAATCTGTATTTTTAAAACCAAAATAGATAGAAATATTCTGTTCGTGGCAATAATTGTTAACAAAAGTTCCGCAACTTATTACATCAAAAATATTGTTTAACCCCCTTAACAGAGTAGTGGGTAGGGGGTAACTCATTTTTTTCAAATAGCAACCCCTATTGAGTGACCCCTCATTTTGAAGGATTTGTCAAAAGAAACACAATGAAGCAAACCCGAGGTGGATATCTCACCCCTAGCCAAAATGGCAGACACTCCAAAGTTTGATTAACTGTATGTATTAAAAAGCACCAATTACACAAGGAAAGAAATCTGTATTTTTAAAAGCGAAATAGATAGAAATATTCTATTTGTGGAATTGATTGATAACATAGGTTACACAATTTTTTATATCATCAATATTTTTTCAACCCCTTTAACAGGGTAGGGGATGGGAGTGACTTATTTTGTTCAATAACAACCCCTATTGAGTGACCCCTCATTTCAAAGGGTTTGTTAAAAGAAAAACAATGATGCAAACCCGAGGTAGATATTTCACCCCTTGCCTAAATGGTGGGTATTTCAAAATTTAATTTTTGTAAAAAGCACTAATTTTGGAATATCCGCCATTTTGGCTAGGGGTGATGTATTCACCTCGGATTTGTGTCATTGTGTTTCTTTTGACAAACCCTTCAAAATGATGAGTCACTCAATAGGGGTTGCTATTTGAAAAAAATAAGTCACCCCCTACCCTGCTAGAGGGGTTAAAAAATATTTTTGATGTAAAAAATTGCGGAACCTTTTTTAACAATTATTGCCACAAACAGAATATTTCTATCTATTTAGGTTTTAAAAAAACAGATTTGTTTCAATACTTAATGTACACTCTGTACAAGTTTCTTCAGTCTTATTAGAAATTGTCTTTGGCGTCTACTGGAGTATTTTAATATCAAAATCAAATAAAAACCAAACTCTATAAAAGGACAGTATTTTTTGCCATTCAACCGTGATGAGTTAAAGAAGCAATTAAATGTTTGAAGAAAATCGATAGTTAATTTTTTCCTTATTGTTTTATGGAAACATACACAAAACCTTTAAATGATGAGAATGCTGGCCCATCAACCTCTGCTTTAGCTGTTGATTGTGATTCATCACAAGCCTATATACTTTTAAATTTCTATTTGGAATTTGGATGTCATTACTGAATACTTTCTTAGAGTAAAACCAGTAAAACATAAATGTATTAGGCCTAACCGGTTTGGCCTGTGTTTTAAAATGTTTGAGGAGATGGGAATAATTAGGGGTACCACAATTTACACAATTGCAATGATCAATTAATTGTACAATTAGCTAGTTTGCGTGGGATGAAAGTAACATACCATATTTTTGGAAAGGTAGCAAAAATTGTAGCTAGCTACTTTTTTTGGAAATATAGCTGTAGTTGTAGCTACCTACATTTTAAAGTAGCTTTCCCAACACCTGGCTTTGGGTAAACAGGAGAACCCAGTACCAGATTACATACCGTCTGTAGCTGTGTTAAAGTATGACACTCCCGTACTTGGAACACACTTGACAATCATATTAAAAGGTTAAAGCAATTGTTAAGTGGTGGGTGTGTTTCCCTAAATCCTTAATATAAATAAAGAGCATTATTTTAGAAGCCCTGGCCTATATAGTAGTTCTGAGCCCTCACATTTTTTTGAAAAACGGTACAGATTTAAGCACAACTAGAGTAACTAGTCTCATGCTTAGGTCTTTGTTTCCTCTGCCATAATAGCTTTAGTAAATTTGTTATCCTCTGCCTTTACGCTTTACAGATGATCGCCAAGTTGATTGCATTATTGATTACTCAAAAGGCATCTGACAAAGTTCTGGCTAAATTTGAGAGTTATGGAGTTTGTGGAACTTTGTAGCAGTGGTTGCAGAGCTATTGGATTTCTAATTTTCTAAGTATAGTTCAAAAGAGGTGTTTTTTCTGACTGGTTTGAATAATGAGTACTAAATTAGTATTGGTTAGGATGAGAATTTAAGTTGTTATTTGAGATACTGTAAAAGTTAATTTACTGTTTCTGTGGAGTTGGATTCAAGATTTTGCTCTTTGTGTTTGCTAAATAATTGTGTCATCAGCAAATTTATGAATCAGAAACTATTCCGTTTATGCAGCCTCCTCCAATATCAGGCCGTGGTGAGTAACAGCTGTTGCACTATATTATAATGGAGAGTCTGCACATTGTTTGTTTACAGATTTTTTGTTACTGATATCACTATGGCAACAGGTGCCAGTGCTTGCCACACACCAAGCTGTAGCCTTGTATTAGAGAAGGCTATGATTTATGATATCTATATATTAATAGGCAAGTATGTTTCTTTAAAACCTTTTTTCTCAGCTCATCTACCAATCTACGCATACTGTTAGAAGATATTTTCCTGTAGGTGTGAAGAACCCCTTTATAAACTAAAATAAAAACAACAAATGAATAAAAAAAAATTAACATGGCCTTATAGGTTGCCATGCTGGGTACGAAATAACAACAAAATATAAACGGAAAAGCAAAACAAATGGAAGAAATTCCAATCACATGTTTTGTTTACAGCGTGGGGTGAAAATGGAGAAGTCTGTACATCAGATATTTTTGGTCGAGTTTTTGATTACTGGGCGACCTCTAGTTTATATAAATTAGGAAGACAATAGGTCCCAATTCTGAACCTTGAGGAAAAACGGTGATGACTTGGTTTTCTCTAGATTTCACAAGGAACTTTTTGTAAATTAATGTATGTTGTTTCTTATCTGTTTGTTAATAGTCTGTTAAATCAATAGAGTGCAAGGTTTTTAATAGCAATATTATTGGTTTTAAGAAAGAGAATAGGTATATTGACACGATCAAAGGTTTGGTCAGGTTAACAAAGTAGCAGTGAACTGACTCACCACCTTCATTGCGCCAATACATCCATTCACTAAATCTATTATTGCTAGTTCAGTGGATTTCCTTCACCTGGATGGAGTAAAAATAGTTTTACAGGAAGATTAAAAATGAGGAAATAAAAAAACAAGTATTTTTAATGGTAAGTCAATTAATTAACAAAATTAACTATGTCTAATCCATACATACATAAGGACACACTTGGTAAAAAAAATCAATATTCGAAAGTAACCCTAAAAATACCTAACAAGATTAGGAACTGTACGTTTAAGAAGTTGACTCATCAGAAGTCTGAGTCTTTTGAGATGCGTTCATTTCTTGGAGTTGTTTCAGCCGTTTTGCTTTTCTTTCTTCAGCAATCTTACGATTTTGAAGCATCCTCTCTTGCTGCTGTTCTGTTAAGGTCTGTAAGTATATAAGTAGTTAATAACAATTTAAACTTATAAAACGTTTTATTATATGAAAGAAATATACTGTATGTTAGTTTATGAACCAATAACCTTTGTTTCCGTTGACACACTTACACTTACTTGACTCTCACGAGTAGGCTGTAAATCCATGGATTACCGGCATTACCGCTGATAGATAGGAAACAGCTAACCTACTATTCTAGCCTGAACGTATGATATTTTTTCTTTTAACCTCAGCTGCTCATTACCATCTCATAACCTTCTGGTACAGTGAAAGAGTAGGCCTACTAATGTTAGGATATACACTCTGCCAAACCATGGTTACTACAGTGATGAGATGACATAGCACAGACAGTCTCTCTCATACTAGCACTGTCCACCTTTTAAGCCCCCGCACTCATCCGACTCTGACCCCGCCAGACCGTGTGTGGTTAAAACAGACCGGGTCCACAAACAGTCAGACATGTCTGCAGTGGGTTGAGAATTCCAGACCGACTTGGTCGACACAACCGTCTTTCACATACTGTACAACCTGAATGCTATCTTCCAAGTAACTTGCTGTGATTTACTGTATGTCAAAAATCAAAAACTTGTATTTATAAATTACCAAATATTTTCTGTCTCCACAATTCAAAACAATACGCCATCCAAAACCTATACAATTTTAAATGTTATCATGACAATCAATAAACTACTTAATCTAATCTAAAATTAGCATGTTGATAAATATACATCAACAAAATAAAAAATCTCCAGACTTCACCTAGTGGTACATGACAACCTATCAACTATAGCCTGAACTGAGCTTGGGTCACCTTGGAACTATACTTAAAAACTTTGAACTCACTATCATAGACAAAAGAATTAAATTTAGACTGACATATTTAATTCAATGAACGAGTGCACCGAATTGGATGATTCTTTTTTTTGTTGTGTTCCTTAGTGCCAGGGGAAGGTTTTTATGTGTATGGGAAGGAAATTTATAATCCATCCAACCGTTATTTAGTAATTTGATTTTAATTTTTTTTGTTTTACATTAGCTCACTCACTTCAACCTGGAGGGGATTGAGCGATGCGAACGAGCTCATCTTGAAAATGAATGAGCATTTGATATAAAACCACATTAGGACAGGACGACGTCTGTCGGGCCAGCTAGTATGATGTAAATATAGACCGACAAGCGGAGTGGAGAGGACCAGACAAGAAGTGAGGAGCGCACCCGCACCAACCAGCTCTGGCAGGAGAGCTGGGAACAGGAGACTGATTCAGCAAGTACAACCTTGGATAAATCGGCGGCACGGCGAGGTTGATTTTATGGATTTTTCCGGTATATTCAGGATGGGCAAAGCTTTGTCACCCGATTGTATTTACTGCCCAGGCACTCCCGACAACGCGGAACATACTTTTTCCGCTGTCCGTGTTGGGAAATGCCCCGTCTGAAGGCTCAATACAACGTAGGATTGCTGTAGGTGGACACGGTCATCCCTTTTGGCAGAGGGTGAGGGGTGAGGACGATTGGACCTGTGTGTCACATTTTTCGTCCAGGGTATTATCCGCACCAAGATTACCAAGGTCCGCGCCAGACCTTGATCGAGATGCGGTCTGGGTAATAAAAAGACCCAGATTGCCAGAATGCCAGAAACAGTGGGAGTCCTAGGGCTTAGGTCATCATATGTTGGCCGACTTGATGAAATGTGACAAACAATCCTTGGTCTGTGTCCAACAGAGAAGTGGGAGTTTTTAATGAGTAGCCTTATCCTCTCAGGAGTCTCAAACTACAGGGTGGCCATCTGTGTGCGTAAATGCATTTACTTCCTCTCCCTAAAAAAAACATATATAGCCTATATACATATATGTAGTCCGTCAGCAGTGGTGCAGTTAGCTTATTCTTTTGTCCATGGCACTATCCACATTTTAAAACAAAATTAAACTTCACATTTTTCGAATTCACATTTTACTTCTGCCACCAAGTGGGACAGGTGGCTGAAGAACATAGGATATTTGTTAGAGCACAATTATTAATAATCAGCTAGTTAGTGTTACTACACATGAAGAGAGAGAGAGAGATTCATGATCGGGTAGAGGATCATCATCAGGTCGGTGGATAAGTGTAAAGGAGTGATCAGGGAAACATAAAACCTTTTGTTTTTATCATAACTACCACAGACACTACACCACAAGAATAATCATAAGTAGATCATGTTCAAAATGGCAATTCTGAATTAGGGAAATGTAGGAATTACAGATGTGTCAGATGGGCTCAACCTCATATGGGGTGTTTACAGGGATTCCCAAAATCCATTAGAATGTTGATTATTATGAATCAGTTTTTAAATTTGCGAACATTAGGATTGCCATACTGAGGCTCTATGCTGTCTAAGAGTAACATTTGAACCTGCTGATACTAATACCTAATACCTATGACTATAGTTCGGCCGCTTACAAAGTGACCTCCTCCAGCATTGGTTTAGCATTAGCGCGCAGGTCGTTTTCTAAGCGGCCGAACTAACTAGTGTTGAATATTAATTAAAACCAATGCAGTATCATATCGAACAGCTGATTGATTTATCACTTAACACAGAATATTGTTATTAGTTAGTGACCATCTCAACAGATAGCACCAAGTTTTTTTCTCTTCAAATTTTTACATTACATGGGCAAGTACATTCTGTGTACAGCCAATGCTTTAACTTTCAGACCTGGAATAAAATTGTCATGGGTCTTGAAAAGCATAGAATTCAGATCTATCACAATAGGCCTACCTGTCTTGATGATGATGCAGCTGGGGGTGAGGGTCGCATTGGTTGGGATGAAAATATGGCATCAAGCGCATCATCAGTGTTTGGTGATGCATTATCATCAGTGTTTGGTGATGCATTATCATCAGTGTCTGGTGATGCCTGAGGAGGAGAAGAGAGAGGATCTTCACTGGCCAATCCTGAATCTTCATCAGTGTCTTCAAGCCCCAATTTTATCCGGTTTACGTAGTTCTGAAAAAATCCAGGCAGATATATACAATATTAATAGATTATATAAAAAAAAAAAAAAAAACACAGTAAAACCTCTATTAACTGTCTCCATAACAGTATAGGTGGATTGTAAAAATTCAATTGGTAAATGTGTAGTGATTGAATGATGCTAAAAATAGCAGGCACATAGTGAAGGAGCCTAAAGAATACTGCATCGGTGACCGACAATGTCGGAATAGATTGCGTCAAACTTATTACTAATAAAAGAATAATAAAAACTTATAATGGCGACGGGTTGGCAAAAAGTGGTGTATCCTCTAACTCAGCTCCTATATATTTCTGGAATCAGAGATGTATTGGTAGGCTAGTTCCCACCTTCTGAGTAGGGAGCTGTTACATTGGCCTTTGAGGAGGGATTTGATGGCTTTTGTGGTAAAACATGTATCAAAATCAAAATCTAAGTTGCGGTTTGCTGCATGTATTGCAATGGGTTTGTATTTGTTTGTTTTAGTTTTATTGTTTTAGAATCATTCAACTCAATTTTATCAAATCATTTTACAAATTCATTTCCTCTAAAGAAAATTAATCTATGTCATTCAATGAATAAAATTAAATTACCTCCTGAGACAAAAGAACTTAGAAATGATGTTAAAAAACTATATTCAATAACAAAAAATTTAGATTCCACCCATGCCTTGAGAAGAACATACCGAGAAAAAAAGAAAGAATACAGAAATGCCATTAGAGAAATTAAATCGGCAGACATCAAGAACAAAGTAGTTAATTCCAAGAACCCCATGAGAGAATTATGGAAAACTGTTAATGAAAATAGAAAAAAGACCAAATCAAAATTACAAACCAATTATGAAATCAGAAATTCAAATGGAAACAAGCTTACTGATCCAGATTTGATTGCTGAAGAATTCAATAAATTTTTCATAAATATTGGACAAGTAAACAATGTTAACAAATCATCTCTTGAAACTACATACAATTATAATTCTATATTTTTACGCAATACAAATGAAGAAGAGGTTATAAAAACTATTAACGATATGAAATCCTCTACCTCTTATGGCTTTGATGACATCTCTTCTAAAATTTTAAAATTTTGCTCTTCAGAACTATCTACTCCTGTGACGTATTTAATAAATCAGTCCATAACTAGTGGTAAGTTTCCACACTTGTTAAAAATTGCCAAAGTTATACCAATTTTTAAAGCTGGTGATTCTCAAAATACCAGCAATTACAGACCAATATCTATCCTTTCTTCATTCAGTAAAATATTTGAAAAAATAATTCTGAATAGACTTTTATCATTTCTAGAAAAAAATAAAATATTATCAAAAAATCAATTTGGATTTCAAAAGAAAATATCAACCACAAACGCTATATTTGAAGTAATTAAATACATTACCTTTCATCTTCATGGAAATAATAATGTGATGGCACTATTTCTGGATTTAAAAAAAGCCTTCGATATGGTATGTCATAAAAAACTTTTAGAAAAATTAAACAATATAGGAATAAGAGGAATTGCACTACAATGGTTTGAATCTTACCTTAGTAACAGGCAACAGTCAGTCCAAATTCCATTTATTGATAATAACAATAATGTAAAATATTATAGTTCAGAAAAACTTGAAACAAAATCAGGTGTCCCACAAGGTTCTGTACTAGGTCCAATTTTATTCATAATATACATAAATGATGTGACATATTCAAGAAAATTATCTGAAGTAATATTATTTGCTGATGACACGACCTTATTGACATCCAGCCAATATAGAGAAGAATTGGAAATTAAATGTTATGAAGAAGCAAATGAACTAGCACAATGCATCATGGAAAACCATTTAGAAATTAATGTAAATAAAACAAAATTTATGGAATTTTCAATCAGAGATAAAATTAAAAAAGATTTCAACTTAAATATTTTAATTGATGAACAACATATAGATGAAGTAAAAACAATCAAATTCCTAGGACTAATTATAGACCAAAATTTAAATTTCAACTCGCATATTGAACACTTATGTAAAAAACTTTCCCAAATTATTTTTATACTAAGAAGAGTGTCTATGTTCTGTAGTGAAGACGCATTACTCGCTGTATATCATTCGCTAATTATTTCCAATATTAGATATGCAATACCTATATGGGGTTCAACTTCATCAAAAACCAAACAAATATTTAAATTGCAAAAGTCTGCATTAAGAATTATTTTCAAATTAAAACCACGCCAATCCTGTAAAAAATTATTTAAAAATTACCAATTTATGACCTTTTACTCAATTTATATTTATGAAACATTACTATTTTTAAAGAACAATTTTGAGAAATTCTTGAAAAATGATGAATTATGTGAGAAGAATTATGATTTGAGAAAATTACAAACATTTTCTTCTACTTTCCACCAAACAAAATTTTATGAAAAACATGTTTATTACAACGGAAGAAAATTATTCAATAAATTACCAACTATTATTCAAAACTTAAAATTAAAAGAATACAAAAGAAAATTAAAACAAATCCTTACTGAAAATCCAATTTACTCTATTGAAGACTTCAACAAAAAATGCATAAAAATTTAAAGAGTTTTATTTAATACCATACCTAATTGTACTGTCGATACAATCTATATTGTCAAGACAATAAAGTATTTATTTATTTATTTATTTTATTTATTTAACATCCTCTCTATGTCCATTCATCCTTTTCCTAAGAGTTTGGGTGGTTAGGCCTATATATTGAGCTTGACAGAGTTTGCATTGTAGCTAAGAGATCAGGTTTTCACTATTGCATGTTATGTGGTCTTTTATTTTGTAGGCTACTCTTTGTTGTACACTACGACAACTGCCATCCCAACAACACCAAACGCTCCCTACCCTACAGTCTTGCCTAAAGAGGGAAACGAATAAACTCCGACAAGAAGAATCTGATAACTTACAACAAACAACTCCAAACTGCTTTTTAAAATAGAGGATACCCGACACAAACAGTCTCTTCGCAGATAAAAGCGGCCCAAAATGCTACTGACAATCCACCAAAGAAAACCAAAACCACCTACGATGTCAGCCTGGTGACTACTTACCACCCAGGTCTCAACAGGCTCAATAACCTTTTGAGAACCGGCTACAACATGCTTCGAAGCTCCATCCAGACCAAAGATCTCTTCCAAAACCCCCCCACCATAGTCTACAGACAACCTGCCAATCTAAAAACCACCCTAGTCCATCCCAAGTTACCCGACCCGTCTGTTGAACCACCTCCAAGACTGCCCCCAGGTTCCTACCCATGCAATGAAACTAAATGCAAGACCTGTGGCATCAACATTCCTGCGGAAACCTTCACCAGCACATCCTACAACAAAGAGTACAAAATAAAAGACCACATAACATGCAATAGTGAAAACCTGATCTACCAGCTACAATGCAAACTCTGTCAAGCTCAATATATAGACCTAACCACCCGAACACTTAGGAAAAGGATGTTAAAACAAACAAATCCAAACCCATTGCAATACATGCAGCAAACCACAACTTAGATTTTGATACATGTTTTACCACATAAGCCATCAAATCCCTCCCCAAAGACCAATGTAACAGCTCCCTACTCAGAAGGTGGGAACTAGCCTACCAATACATCACTGATTCCAGAAACCCTCCTAACCTTAACATCAGATAATTCACCCAACCCTTCCCTCAGCTAGCTTCACATTTTTTTTATAATCAACCTACCATGTGTCTAAATAGGAGTGTATGTGTATATAGATGTACATAACTAGGGTTGCTTTCAGAGAGGTGAAAGCCAGTTGAGCGGAACAAACGTGATTTTATATTTGTATAAGTAACTAAATGTAAAAAAGTCAATAGATAAACTAATGCTTGTTTTATTGATAAAAATTATAATAATTTAAATTTGTTTTAACTACATCTTGTTCCAGAAGTGCATTATGGTAGTTTTGACCAGAAAAATATTACAGTACTGTAGTTGGAATCTGATATTAACATCCAAAAAGGGCATTCAAGTACAAAAAAGACAAAGGAAATTTAACATTCAAATTCAACTGTAGCCTACAACAAAAACATCGGACTTCATTTTTCACCCTTACAATCGGTTAAAGTATTTAAGTATAAAAAAACAGTAACTGTTTAAAAAACGAGTATTAAAGTATAACATCAGAGGGGAAAATTGACATTTAAATTCAACTGTGCAACATAAACATTGGTCTTCATTTCAACCATTGCAATCGGTTAAACTCAGCTTTCTTTGCTGGAAAAGTATTCTTGATGGAGGATATGATTGTAATGTAACTGGAATGTAGGTCTTCTACCTTGGGACGATTTAGAGACGGCATTTTAATACTGGCCTTAATAAAATCATTGGACAGCCCTTGACAATTATCCATACCGTGATTAAAAGTGTACTTCTATAAGCCCAGGTAATTAATTATTTACTTATTATTACGGCTGTAACTGGACTGGATAAATTATATGTTAGTTTTGCTATGGTCAAAGGTCCAAATCCAAATGTTCTTTTCTTTTGGTCTGTATGTAGTAATTTGCTAGTATCATTGACTTTTTATAAAGTCAATGCTAGAATACTGTAGATGGTTTGTTAAGACCATAATATGCAAGCATTTTTGAAATCGTTTCCCCGTTTAACCAACTATTCCAAAAAATAAAAAAATAATATGGTGCAACACATAAATAAACCGATCACCTACCAATAACCTACACTTTACCTTCCTAATCTAACCTTACTTCAAAACACTTAATGTAGTCACGAATACTCATAAACCCCGACCTACCTTCCCCACATACCTAAATTAGATCAGTGTTCAATCTGCGTTTTATTAATAAGTGCAATAACTTACTGTATCGTCGATGTAATTCAACATAATATAACCTGTGAGGTATTATCGGATTAAATATCGATTTCGATTCGATGCGGTTCAATATATCGCTTATTAAATCCTTATTTCTAACATTGACTGTTTCTAATCAGCTGGCAACACAAATAGGTGCCCAAGAGTAAGTAGTCACTGCGATATGCTCCGCGCATTGAGAAAGTAGTTCCGTCTATTTTCGCAATTTGTAGTGAATTCCGAGCCTTAAAAAATGTTTTAACGGTATTTTCTTGTTTATTAAGATCATAGGAATGATTTAAAAACGTTTAAAAGAAAAGTCTAGAAATTTCAAAAATACCTTATGATTCTCTTGTTTACATTTTTGTTGTAAACAAAAAACTGTCATATGGCTACTTTAGTCCCATAAGCCTAATGTTAAAAATTGGAAATTTTAAGTTTGTTTTAAATTGCATTAGCATTATCTAATTGAAATTTGTTTGTTTAAAAACCATCTCACTATTAGTCTAAGTAATTTTGTTAAGTTTGGCTGAAATGCGTTCAGCCGTTATTGAGTGATGTTTCTCTATTTGTTGCATTGAAGTTGATCCCAAAGAGCTTCGCTCGCTCCGCTCAACAACAGGAATTTTCATTTCATTTTAAACAACAGTTGGCAACACTTTAGTGGAACTTTTGAATTTGAACTGTAACTGCCAGTTTTCTTTCTTCTCCCTTCTGATGAAGTCCCTAACTGGGACGAAGTATTAATTAGGTTTTTCTGTGTTGTGTCATTTGTTTTATGTGTAATCAAGGCTAATCTGGACTCTATCTACCAAGTAAGCTAGCTGATCCCTATCCTTGTACATAATAATCCTAATCAGCCAATTGGCCTTTCCTTAACTCCTACTTTGAATATTAGTGTATTACTAGTCCTGAAAATAGGTGTTTACCAGACGAGTGTGATCGTTCCCGTGCAAAACTAAGCCGAGTGCGGGATTACCATACGAGTCCGGTAAACACATTTTGGACGAGTGACGTACGATATTTTGCGCCATACCTTTCTAAGCTAACTTAACAAAAAAAATCCTTATATATACCCACCGACTAAAGGACTAACAATCACTACTCATAACATCTAAGAGAGGTTATGTTTTTGTTTATAACCACTAATTGCCTAAAGTAATCAGCTGGATCCGGTAAAAACTCATTTGAACCACATTTCATTAAGCTGCCGGCAAACAGCTGTTTTCTGGATTAATCCTTGCACGGGAAGTTTGTTTAAACATTGTAGTGTGGTGTAAAATAATTTGGATGGTAGTTCTTATTGAATTTTGATTGAAAGTTAGGAAAAAATTCTGTTGTTGGCAGATAGAGTTAACATAAACTTACTAATAACGGCAAGTGCAAAAGGAGGCAGACGTAATGTTGCAGTCATTTACACACTAACATTTGGTGCAATAATTAGCCCACATTGTGCATAGGTTGAACATTAGAGTAAATCCTACGAAAATAATGTTTTAAGGCCTCATTACAGTTTTATTTTGATCAAAACATTATTGTGATTTACAGTTTACACTTGAGAGTTTATTTTAAGAAAATACAATAAACTATGTCTTCTAAGGCTTTTAATCAACTTTATTTTCTACTGTAACTTTATGATGGTAAATAAAAACTAAGTAGGTATTTGAAAGGTTACAATATGGAAATTGATTTGACCACTCATCGGTTAATCACGACACATTTTTTTACTATTATTGTAGGAATTATCTACTACAATAAAAATGAAATTGGCTACAATGTACTCTAAATTAAAGACTAATATTATATACTTGCCTTGACACGTCTATTGTTACCCAGGTGCTCGATTTTCTTCAGGATGTCATCAAAATTGCCAGCTGGGTAAAGTTGATGGCTCCACATTTCCAGACCTCTTAAAACTTTGTCGTAGTCTCGCTTGACAGTGCGGGTCCTTCCATACAGTCTCATGGTAAAGAAATGTTTATCCATATGGGCCAGACCACGGGGACCCACAAGTCTGGAAAATTAGGAAACTATTAGTTTTTAATATTTCAAAATTGATTCCAACTGCTAAATACTGATGTACCGTACTGGTCCAGACACTGAAGCATTTTTTCAATACGAGTCCCATGGGCAAGGAAATGGTAGCTGCAGGATGCAGATCTGCCTCAATACAGCTATGTTTGGTACATCTGAAGCTACAATTCATCTGACCAAAATCATCTTATACTAGGAATTCACCTAAACACTATTTTTTATGCTAAAAATTTAACGACAAAGATTTGTCTTTTAAAATGTTAAAACATTACTAGGATAATGATTTATTTCCTTTGGCCAGTTTTTAAATATGCTAAATAAACAAATGCTTGTTTTGGTATAAAGGTTTTTAAACATATCCATTTAATACCTAATTTGGCATCTCGACAGCAGTTAAAATGTTTTATAAATGGGATAACTGGTTAAACTAACTGAATAGACAGGCAGTTGGCTGACAACGAAGTGAACGATTCCAAAATGCATTGGAATCAATCTAATCAAAATATAATAATTTATTCCCATGAAAAAAAGTAATGACAAAACATAGCAATCCACTGAAGCAATTAATGTGATAATCTGTCATAAACAGTACTGCAACACTAGACCTACTGCAGCATTCTCGCTTAAACTCCAATATTCACTACACTTATATTTATTACTTTCATGTTAGTTTGGAATTTATTTGGTGATTAACTCTCTAAGTGCTTAGCTTACGTGTTAACTGTATTTTTTATTAATTTTATTAATATTTTTTTATTGTACATATAAGTGTAGCCCATCCATATAAGAATTAGTTTCAGTCTGCAGTTTGGGCTTACCTCTCAGCATTCAATACAGGTCGATGACCCTTTTTCTTCCTTACTACTTTTGGTTTTTCATTTTGTTTCGTCTTATCAGCATTCTCAGCCCCACTCCCTTCGTCTGGTAACAAAAGTAACAATAAAAAATAAATATTAATTTGATTACAAAAATTTATATCTTACTACTTTTTGTAGGGGAAGTGTCCAACCCTTGTCACTATCTAAGTTTAATGTTGACTTTATTTAGATAGCAACCTGTAGTTAATTCATCACGCAATTAGACAAAAAAAGAAATCTAGGTCCAATATTATTACAGCTCGTGACAAATAAGCTGGCACTTGGCCTAGCGCCTAGGCAGTTTAGGTGGGGGATGGGTAGAAGTAAGGAAAAGACAGGACTGCAAACACATTCTACTGACTCTACTGGGTTGACTCCCTGCGTTTCACGTACTGAGCGCCTTCAGGAGGGTTGTGAGGGAGGACAGTTGATGCAACCCGAATGACGGCATATGATGTTTTTGAACTAGATGCTTAGCGATCGGTCAAGTGCCAGCTTAGGTGTCACAAACTGTTGATAATTATACTCCGTTCAAACAGCCGTGGCACCTGAGGGATTAGGAGGCCCCAAGGGTTTCCATGGGGTCTCCTAATCCGTCAGGTGCCACCGCTGTTTGAACGGAGTTGCTTTTACATGTTGCATCATTTTAGGTACGGTACCGGTACTTAACTTTAGCAGTTATCATATTGTTCAGTTGTAAGTAACATTAATAGTCATTCTAAATCTCTCAGTTCAGCTTGCAATCATTTTTGAAATAGAGTTTTGAAGTGTTTTTCTCAGAGTTTTAACCCTCAAACGCGCACGCAGGGGTTTACATAATTTTACAAGAAAGTTATGGTGGCTAACCTGGTGAGCATAACAGTAGCTGCCTAAAAATAGCATAGGCTATATGCTATCATCTGGCCGCAGGGTTGTTAATCTTGACCGAGTCATTGACCTGTTAACACCACCCTGGGTTTGGCATTAGGGGGTCTAGTGTACCCTGTGCGCGTAGTAGTGTCTTAGTTTTATTATCATTAGGCCTATAATAGTATTAATAACTTTATTATTTATAATTTTATAGTATTGAAAGTTTGCCAAAAAAACTTAGTATCTGTAAACCAATTAGATGGAAATGTCCAACCATAGAATAGAATCCACTGATCTAGCCTACCAATACAAAGGCGCAGTGCACCGTCTGCCTACCACAAAAAGAGTTCAAGACCAAATTTAAGTGTAAAACTTGAAAAAAACAAATGTGCCAGGGACAAAAGGACTTCTAAACCAACCACAGGATGAAGATGTTTAAGAAAATATAACTTAAATTACCAAAGAAAGTTTTTATTTTTTTTTTTACTTTTGTATAGGTAGTATTTTTTATAAACTGGGAAATGTATTGATTCATAACATATTTAATGCTTCCTTGGTTTTTTTACAAATACCTATTACTCTTGTAAAATTAAAAATAATAGACCTAGTCTACATGTGTGTAATAAAAACTTGTTTAACTAAAATATCCATCCCCCTTTTTAACACCATTTAATTACATTTCATCATGAACTATTTAACTTAAGGGTTCTAACTATTATTTTCAAATTAATAAAAGGACATGGTAGGATCATAAAATTTACCTAACAATGTGAGAAATGAAAATAGATATTAGTACGGTAGCAATAAAGTTTAAGAGTTAAAACCCGTTTTATTTGTCCATTGGAGCGTGCGTGCTTACATGTTAAGTTATAATTAAACACAAGTAAATATAGCCCAGAATTCGTATAGCTTAATGCTCGACCGACCACCCTGACATACCCAAAGAATTAATTTACATGTAACTTAGGCCTATAAAAACTTTCAATCCTCAGACTGACTCATCTAAGTTTTTAAATCATTTTAAAAACCAATTATTTTGTCATATCAAGCTCTATAACCCCATAACCACAATGCTAGACTGAGGAATATTGACGGTGTTGCCTTATTTGAAGAGTACCATAACACATAACTCCGCCTATCTCCACTAAGTAACTTAGACATTTTTACCCATTAATTTTACTCCTAGCCTACGGACACATGTTATTTTGTTTACTAAAACAGTAACTGACACTCACTGTAAGTCTTTAAAACAGGCAAAGCAGAACTTACTTATAGTTAAAATTTAACTTAGTCAATCAAAACGCACATAGTGGCGTCTCAACTTGGTTAACCTCGCACCGATGACTGATGTGTTTTATTACGTTAATCATTGTTTTAGTGTTAAAAATAAAAAGTAGTGATATAAGTGGTGCATTATAAGAAGATTTAAGTGATTTTGAAGGGCTGGTTGATGATCCTGAAGAAGTAGGTAGTGATATTGATGTACATTGTCGGCCAGATTCCTAGCTATGGTTAGGCTATGCATTCTTAGCTAACGCTAAATGTACAAAATCTGTTTTTCACCCATAACATATTTATTTGCAAATTTAATTCCTTATATTATTATATTTTTGTCCTTATCCTTATAAAATTTAGAACAAAGTGGCTATTTTAAAATATTTGTAGACTTATAAATTATAAAAATTTATTGAGCGCAAAAAACATATACATTTTTTTCTTTTATTTTATAATTTTTTAGAAATGATAACCCCACAAAAATTGTTGGAAATTTTGTTTGTAATGTTTTAAATATTATATTGAAGCCCATAATTTCCCAAACAAAATGATAGCCTATATACTGTAAAAAGTATACTTTAACTTACATTGTTTTTTAAGTTTCTAAGATACATTTTAATAAAACCCTGCAATTGCGCAATAAATGGGCGGACATTAATACCATTACTATGGACACTTGGAGGGTTAAGTTTGACAGTTTATTTTATAATAAAAAAATTATAAAATTAAATTTGAGACATTTATAATTTTATTTTTAGAACAGAACTATTTTTTTGATTAGTAAACCTTCATTCGAGTCTTTCATTATCGGCAAGTTTGGTTAGGTTATTGTTATATATTTTTTATTTGCATACCTCAACAATCATATGTTAATTTAAATATTTATTATTCCTGATATTTTTACTATTGTGATTATGAAAACATTGTTCTGAAATACAAGACTTATTACAACACCATGTTAAAATAATTTATTCTATACTAATTACCTAATATTACTTCAAGTATTTTAAAGTGGCGACGAGATAAAAAAAAGCAAAATGGACCAGGAACAGTTTCAAATATTCCTACAAACCTTTACCACAGCTATTCAAGGTATGTCTCAGTCACAATCATCAAAGAATTTGACACTGATATCGAATTTTGACCAGTTTGAAAATACTCAAGAAACGTTTTCTCAATATAAAGAGAGATTTGAAAACTACTTAAAGTTGAAAAACGTTTTCTCAGACAAAGATCTCTGTGCCCAGATATTTATTAACAGTCTAGGCTCTTCTGGCTACGACTTGTTATCTACCTTATCGTTGCCAAAGAAGGTAACCGAGCTGAAGTATGAAGAGCTTACTGCCTTAATGACCAATCACTTTCCCGCTCAAAATGAAATAGTCGAACAACACAAATTCTTTTCTCGGGTACAAAACCTTGATGAGTCAATTTCCAGTTATGTCACGTCCCTCAAAAAGCAAATTTCGACTTGTAATGTGGCCTGTTCTGCTTGTAACACTTCTGTTTCTGACCTATTCCTCAGGGCACAATTCATACGAGGAATTAGGGATTCTTCCATAAGGGAGAACCTTCTTCAACAGAAGGATCTTACTTTTGACTCTGCTGTAACACGAGCTTTAGCAATTGAAGCTTCAAAGCTGAATTCCAACGCCATAGACGAGTTTTCACAGCAGTCACAACCGTCTTACAGCAACGTAAGTGTCAACAAGATGGCAGGACATTCGAAAAGGCATCGATCATCAGCTAGATTCAGCCATCATTCCTCAGGTGAGAGCAACAGTCGTTCGTCAGCCAACAGCAGCTCCATATCTTCTGCGACTCAACGAAGAGATTATCGGTGCAAAGGACAAGTCAACTTGACTGCTCTTGGCTTGGATGGCGTTTGTCTTCGGTGTGGCAAGAAAAATCACTTGTCACCTCAATGCAGGCTACACAGGTCTCGAGTCCGCTGTAATGACTGCAACAAAAAGGGCCATATTTCGAAGGTATGTATCAAGTCCCTACTATCTAAACAAAGTGGCTCAAAATCAATCAAACACTTAAATCAAGATAATGATAACCAGTCCGTTGAGTCAGACGATGATGATATTTATGGCGTGGGTCAAATTGGAAACATTTATGACATTCACCTGTCAGACACTGATAAGTTTATAACGACAGTTCTTATTAATGACCGCCCCCAAAAGTTCGAGGTTGATTCAGGTTGCGCACACACTCTACTTCCTAGAGGAGACTTACACCGTTTAAACATTTCAATGGACGCGCTAACACCAACATCTGTCAAATTTCGCTCATACACAGGGGAGCTACTTTCTCCGCTGGGCATTGCCTCGGTACGAGTGAATAGCAATGGGACATCAACCGTCGAACAGTTATTTGTTGTTCCTGACGGATACAGTCCTCTTTTGGGTCGAACATGGATACGACACTTGCAAATCAACCTAAGTAATATCGATCAAATATCTCAGAGGGGCAATAGTATCAATTCTGTCAATGACAATATTGAAGAGCTCATACGTAAACTAGAATCTACTTATTCAGCCATTCTTAAGCCTACCATTGGTTGTATTCCAAATATTTGTACCAATCTTAGATTGAGGCCTCAAGCAAACCCAGTTTTCCTAAAACCTAGGCCTCTACCTTTTGCACTTCGAGATCAAGTAGGGCTAGAATTAGATCGATTAGAAAAGGATAATATCATTACTAAGATAGATTTCAGCGACTGGGGGTCTCCTTTAGTAGTTGTTCCCAAACCTGATGGCTCATTAAGACTATGTGCCGATTACAAACCCACAGTGAATCCTCAACTGTATGATGCACACTACCCAATACCCAAAATAGATGAAAACCTCCATAAGCTTAGAAATGCCAATTACTTCTGTACCTTAGATTTATTCAAGGCATATCTTCATGTTCCTGTTGATGATGAAAGCGCACACATTCAAGCTATCTCAACGCACAAAGGTACGTACAAGGTTAATCGCTTGTCTTTTGGCATCAAGACTGCCCCCAGCATATTCAACCAAATCATTGAGCAGTTGTTGGGTGACTTACCCGGAATAAGTACTTACTTTGATGATATTATTATTTACGGTTCCACTCTTCAGGAATGTTACAACAATCTCTGTTCTTGTCTTCACCGGCTCCAAGAAAACAATCTCCACATCAATCGTAAGAAATGTCTGTTCTTTCAAAAAAGCATTACATACCTAGGCTTTGTTGTTGAGCATAACAAAATTTCTAAGTCTCCAGAAAAGGTAACCTCTATCCTCAATGCTGCACCTCCAAAATCTGTTGATGATGTACGGAAGTTTTTGGGACTGGTAACATATTATTCAAAGTTCATTCCTTCAGCTTCTACTCTCACTTACCCTCTCCGTAAACTACTTATAAAAAACCAAAAGTTTTGTTGGACAAAGGACTGTGAAGACGCTTTCAACAAAATCAAGAAAGAGATTGCCTCTGACCGTGTATTGGTACCTTACGATCCCAGTCTTCCAATCTCTCTAGCCTGTGATGCTAGCCCATTTGGCGTCGCTGGGGTTCTGTCTCACACCATCGATGGAACTGAACGCCCTATTGCGTTCGCATCTCGTTCACTGACAAAGGCTGAAAGTCACTATAGCCAACTAGACAGGGAAGCACTTGCAATAGTTTTTGCAGTAAATAGATTTTTCCCATATCTTTACGGGAGAACATTTGATCTAATAACAGATAATCAACCACTCACCAGAATTTTTAATCCAAAGAACGTCCCACCCATGTCAGCAGGTCGACTTCTTCGCTACGCTGTTTTCCTTCGAGGTTTTGACTACACCATCAAACATCGAAAGGCTTCTGATCACGTAAATGTTGACTACTTTTCAAGATCATCATCCGTCACAGAACAATACAAAGGAATTGATACAACTCTCAATAAGGAAGTGGAACAGATAGAACAAATGTCAATTTTTCAATTATCTTCAGTTGATATATCTAGCAGCTCTATCGCTCAAGAAACTCTCAAAGATGCCACGATGCATGACATTCTTCAACAACTTAAAGATGGTAAGAATGATCCGTTGTATTCTCTTAATCAAGGCGTCATTTTCAGGGGTGACAGGGTCTATATTCCACAATCCCTCAGATTGAAAGTTCTTAAAGAGCTACATGCTACCCATGTTGGAATCGTAAGAATGAAAAGGCTCGCACGCAGATACTGCTACTGGCCTGGAATTGATAGAGACATCGAACACAATGTCCGCTCTTGTGTGCCATGTTCTGAAAATCAAAAACAACCAGCCAAAATATCACATGTATGGGACACACCCAATGAAAACTTTGAACGAGTCCACGTTGACTATGCGGGTCCATTCCATGGACATCATTTTCTTGTCCTTGTTGATGCTAAGTCGAAATGGCCAGAGGTTAGGATTATTCGTTCTGCACCGACCACTACAATCACGATTGAGTTACTCCAAGACATCTTTTCAATGCATGGATATCCATCGTCAATAGTTTCTGACAATGCATCTATTTTCACTAGTAAGGAATTTCAAGAATTTTGCAACCAAACAGGTATAGTTCAAAAGTTCTCAGCACCAGGGCATCCTGCGACTAATGGGTTGGCGGAACGATACGTACAAACGATCAAATCGGCCTTAAAAAGAAATATCGAAGACCAATCTTCACATACCTCTCTGGTGCGACACATAAGGGATATCTTATTCCGTTACCGAGCTACACCTCTCCAATGTGGAAAATCACCTGCAGAATTGTACTTACACCGAAAGTTAAGGACAAAATTGGACATTCTGAAACCAATATTAAAATCGACTATTCGCAAAGATCACCATTCAGTGCCTCGGTCCTTCAAAGATGGGGACAGGATACTGGTACGCATGGGAGAAGAGTGGAAATTTGGCAAAGTTGTGACCCGGCTCGGAGCTCTCCATTATACAATTCAACTTGATAGCGGTTATGTGTTAAAAAAACACATAAATCAACTGAGGCGGACCGAAGTGCCAGAAATTGATTCCACGAAGAAGATATCAGGAAAGGATCACAGTCATCCACAGAAGACCCGTATGTCAGGGAAAATGAAATGGGAAACGTCTTCTACTAAAAAGAAAGTTTCATTTAATGAAAAGATTGAAAATGCAGACTTTACATTTTTTCCTCCGTTCAATACTACCAGTTATTCGTCCACCAGTCATGCATCAACCAGTCATCAACCAGACACATCTGTATATTATGGACAAACACCTTCACGACGACATACATCAAGACAGATCAAACGACCGACACGATACACGCCTTGAACACTTCCTCAGTGCGGAAGAATCTGTTATATATTTTTTATTTGCATTCCTCAACAATCATATGTTAATTTAAATATTTATTATTCCTGATATTTTTACTATTGTGATTATGAAAACATTGTTCTGAAATACAAGACTTATTACAACACCATGTTAAAATAATTTATTCTATACTAATTACCTAATATTACTTCAAGTATTTTAAAGTTATGACAGTTTAATTTTTTGTAATTAAATTTTACCTAAACAAACGATACGTTTTGTCAGCGACAGTGATAGAGATAACAATTTTCCGTGAACAGTTAGGCTATGCTGATGCGCCGGTATGATTCGGAAGCGTACAACATGGTGCGGTGGTGGGGGTGTTCTGATCCACGATCCTCGGAGTTGCACTGGCTGGTGGCTGCCTAGACACTCTAACCTAGGCAACCTGACTAGGCTAACCTAGGTTGTATTTAACTTAGGCTGTGTTTGGAAAAGTGTCATGATGGGAGCCATGAGCTCCTTAATTTGAAGAAACATCACCTGATTTTATATATTACCAACATAAACAGAGATTGTGGTAACTTAACATGATGATATGAGTGTCAAACTATGGTAACATTGTGGCACGAATTATCAGAATATGGTACAAAAACATAGGCCTGTAGGCCTATAGGCTAGGCCTATAATCAAATAGCTTGCCATGTTGTTCAGTAGTACTGTAAAGCTTGACATATCTCCAAAATGCATCTAAGTAGGTCTTACTAACATATTAAGCCTAAGATTCCAACTCGAACTTACCGTGAGGGAATTCTTCCTCTCCTGAGATTCCTGCTTCTGCATTAGGGTCGTGAATCCTTCCAATTTCATCATCACTCATGACGTTTCAAAATGTAATTTAAATTTATCGTAAAGAAATTAGCAAAAGTATGTCCTTGGAGGGATGGAAAGAGGCGGAATATAAGTTAGGTACTAGATGGAATGGAGTGGAAAGTGAAAAACTCAAAAAGAACATGAAGTAACATTACAAACACAAAATTGATGAGTTAGTACATTCCTACTTCTGATTCAAGCAAGATTCAACACTAAGTTTAAGTTACAAACACAAAACACAACACACCATTGCCTTCGCCTTCAATCAAACAATATTATAAAAACTACTAACTATTAAATCTTCTTCTTCTTCACAATAATTTCCCTCCAAATCTTACTTTTTTTTTAGTTTGTCCTAGTGTGTGAAGAGCTAGGCTTGACTGTGTTTCCAACCTAAAGTTAAAGAATTAATAACATATCATGGGTGTGTACCATAGCATCTAAATCCATAACGTCTAATCTCATTACATAAAAACGAAACAAAATGGGAAAAAAGTAGTTGAAGTAGTTTCTTCTAGTATCAGGGTTTCTTATGAAGTAAGAAACTCAAACTTCAATCGTAGATAAATCATACTCCCTTAGCTTCACTGCGTCTCTATCAGAATAGTAATACCATACACTAACCAACACAAGAAGACTTCTCATCATGTCTCATCCCATTGTAAATTTTGAAGCTCGCTTTTCGTGTCTGCTAAGTAGTCCATGTCTTGTGAAACTGAACTGATCACTAGTGTCGACAACATTTTGTTTCCGAGCGGCTATATGGTGCTGCAGCAAAAATAAAAGAAGTTGACTTGGATTATCTGAATTACCATACGTTACGCTATGCTTTACACTACTCCGAAACACCACCCCCTGTTTCGAAAACAAGTTTACCCCCTGTTGACGAGGCTGACCGCTGTCTATCATGGCTTACTGTATTTCATTCCCACCTCATGCTCAAGGTTACACGCTGCAAGGTGTGAAGATATTCTTCTCCTCCAAAACAAAAAGCCGGTTCGGATCATTGCATCGATGAGTTACAGTGAATACTGTTGGCCAATGTTCATAAATCTAAAAATTCTTACCATCTTCAACTCAACCAGTATGTACTGTTAAGCCTATTTGTTACTATTTGTTATGTGAGGGATAATCTTCACCAGCTCACAACAAGGGAATTCCGCCAATCCCACAACATTCGTAACAAAGGATAGCTTCACACACCCTACTGGCTCTCCAAAAAAACAAAGCTGTTTCTGGATTAGGGCTCTGAAGATGTACACAGATCTCCCCCAAATATTTAAGACTCTTGTGAACCGCCCGCTTTTCAAAGAACAGTCAAAGCCCCTGGCTAGTCACCGACCACTGTATCCTTAGTTAATGAATATTATTTTTATGTTTTGCACCGAGTATAGGCTCAATAACATCTAGCCTAAAATATTGTAAATAGTGTGTACATAGTTGATAGTATTTTTAGATTTTTTTGTCCTTGACGCAGTCTCTATCAGTCCATCCAGAAATTCTTGGATGGACGACGCCGCTGCAGGTAAGGTATACGTCTAGACTACCCCGAACCGAAATGCAAGTTTAAACTCCACTTAATCCACTCCAGCCCTCACTTGGTGTATTAATATTTCCCAAAAGTTTACAACTGTTTACAAAATGGATACAATGGTTCTAGTTGTTGCACTTCATGATATTCAATGGCTCCTTTCAAAATAGCTTCATCTCTCAATGGAATATTGTTATATTTGTATGCTGTTCTAATATGATGTATACTATCATGAAAAGTCAACGCATTTTGCAAAGCTGTGTTAAAATTGATTTTTCATCACTCCTTAACGAAAGTAACTATTTTCGATAACAGCTGATATCAATGAAAGTAGTCGTTTCCCAAGCTCTAATTTAGGGCGAGGGAAAATCGATCAGCTGATTTTCCCTCGCTCTAAATTTACTTTCCCTCGCTCTCAATTAGTTCTCCATTTATTCACTACGCGTGCCAGTGTTTTGTTACGGTTTAATTTAATGATTTTAATCAGCTGTATGTATTTTTAAAAGTTGTGTTATTCTTTTATTTTGATGTTTAAACAAAATTTATTGAGAAATATACATAGGTTTCTTTTTAGAAGATTTTATTTTATTTTTATGTTCAATCAAATTAATTGAGAAATCAAATTGTTTTAATATACTGAGGTCTGCTATTCTGTGTTTGTGTATTTTTGCGTCGTGATGAAAAGTATCGTTCATAACTCGTACCGAAAGTTATTATCCGGCACTTGCTCCATTATTCCCGTCCTCGGCTTCACCTCGTACGTGAAAATAGCTCTCACATACTCGGCTTCGCCTCGCACGTGAAATTGGAGTTCCCTATGTTCGGCTTCGCCTCACACAAAAACTTGGGCGCGCGACGGAAAATGCCACTTTCGGTCCTAGTAATGAAATATACTATTAATCATATACATAATATGAATAATCTCTACTAGTCTATCTGTATTCTGCAGCTGTTTTTGTCATTGCATTTCCCATAAGCCCCTTGAGTTAGAATGACCAAAAAAGGAGATTTTGTTTGATCCGAGGCCGAGGGGACGACGACGACGGTGTTTCGGTGTTTGTGTTCTGTGTTGTTTTTTGGTGCCCTTCTTGCTGGTGTTGGCTAAAGACTGGAAACTAAGGAATTGTTATGATTTGAGATAATTTTTGTGTTCTGTAGTTGAATTTTATAATTATTTTGGTGAAGCATCACTCGTGTCTTCCACCTAAAGTCTGACATACATTACCAATGCGTACAAATTTGACCATCTTGTTGGAAACGATCTCCCAAAGTTCATAGGGACCAGAAATATAGTAGGCAGTAGGCCTATCATAATAATTTTAAATATATACAATCATCTTTACTAATAATCTTAATATTACATTTTAAGCTTTAAAATGGGTCTAACAGGGTGCTACGGAATACTGAAATACCTTGTGTTTTTCGTGAACCTTGTGTTTTGGGTAAGTTTTCTTACTTTTGCATTTAGCATTAAGCCTAGTGTGTCGTGGGCTGGCCTTTACTCGTTGTTAGTGGAAAATACGGTTTGGATCTAGGTAGATACCGTAACTAATCTTAGGCCCTATAGAGATCTAATATTTCATCCTCTAAGCCCATTTCGTGCAATGTGAGCCTGGTTTTCTGTCTAGGAACTATCCTTAGAGACAAAAACCACACCCTTAGGGGCGGTTCACGAGCTCGGGACTTCATAGTCCGCGACCAGACGTTGGTCCCGGACTATATAAGCGACGACCAAAAAATGGGTTCACGAGTTAGAGCCTAATGATGTGAAAGCCGGGCCCAGTGTAGGTCGAGACCAAATCCATAGCGGAGCCTAATGACAGGGATTCGCAGGGAATTTTTGTTGAGACGTTGGTAAAACAGCCTGGAAACACATGTCAAGCCACTGCTGCTGACATACGCACTTTCATTCAAATTCCGTACAATAACATGATCTTGAAAAAAGACTGAACCGAAACGTCCAAAACTGTTATTTTTCTTGTATTTTATTGTCTCAAAGCTCGCCTATAATAATATAATACTCGTATATCAAAGTTTATTGATTTATAAACACAACAAGCCACATTTGTACGAAATCAGATAATGGAAGTCTTTAGCGAAATATATTTTTCTGTGTACATTATTGTAAATCAATTAAGATGCATGGCATAAAATAACCGGGTATTTATAACCGGATGAATGTCTATTTTGCATAAATGCCCGATCATTTAGGATGGAGATTTTTGGATAGGCTAATTTTAACTAAACTCTTTTAAATTGTACAATTATTGAAACTAAAATGTAGGCTATTTAGAGGTACTGACTATTTAGATATAAAAATCGTATGTGTGTGCTGGTCTTTAATCGTGGTTGTAATCTAAGAATATTCTTTCCGTTATTCTTACACTCTTTAATAAATCTAGCTGTAAAATGTTGAAATAATATTCTGTGGTTCGCTCGTAATATTATTTATGTAAACAGCTATGGTTTTTTATTTACATTTTGTGTTGTTGTGATTTTTATATCAGTTTCATAGGTATTACAATGAGTTAATATTTAAGAAAATATTGTATTTTTTTCTTTCAGCATAGTTTCGAACTGAAAATTTGATTTGATCTGCTTTCATTACCAAACAAATAGGTACCACCCAAGCTTTACTAACATCCAATAAATCACCAGTTTCTCGATGAAAAGTGCCATCAGCCAAAAATATTAGTGCTACTAATTTTTTTTTTTTCAATTTAGAATACTGTAATGGATTTTGCTGTCGGGAAATCCGTGCCTTGGAGTTAACGCCTCAAATGGCTCATTGACGGCATCTTTGGACAATCTAAATCTATCTTTAAATTCATCAAGTCATATAAGGGTTTTAGTCATGATAAGGAGCTGGTCCTATGCGAGGTAGTGGAGTGATGGTACATAATTGTTAACATAATACAGTATAGATATTTCATAGTCATATTCAATACACACGGCGACCAGTGAGTACAACGTTTTCTGTGGTACAACACAAGACGTTAATTTCATCGCGAATCGTACTCAACCACTGACGGTTTGCTTGATGTTTCCCACAGCAAAAAAAAACTATTTCTAATTATGTTAGATAACGGTGGTTTAAATGTGGCTGATTAGTTATATTTATATTCTACGCATAATTGTATCGTTAAAATTGTAATAACATGGGGTTTATCAGTAAAAATATCTTTGTTATGATACTACTTTGTTCCGTGCATAATTTATCTGGCGTTTTAAGTTGTTTGATGATTTTTTTCATGTTTTATGAGCCTTTTTACCATTTTTACATATTTTTTTAATATGGCGTTGTGGGTAATGAAATTGTTCGGAATTTAATGAGGAACCATATTTAAACATTAGTTTTTAAAAATTAATAAAAATAAAGAAGCTAGCCTAATTAGATAAAACCCGCATGATGTCACCTTAAACCTGCCTCCTACCAGGTCTGAGTTAGAGACCAAACACCATTGTTCTTTTGGGCCCGAACTCTCTCATCTGGGCTCGGACTTGACTCGTGAACCACTTGAGTGAACCTGGCAATAACTTGGCAATAAGTAGTGCGCGCGCCACAAAAAATCTATTGATGGCCGTTTTGCGGCAAAATACGTCCACGATGCATATTACCGATTATGCCAACAGATAGAGGACACTTTAACGGACACGACAGTATCAACATTATGTACCTGGGGAGTAGGATAAGGGGGGTAAAATCGGTAAAAAGTAGTGCGCGCGCCACAAAAAATCTATTGCTGGCCGTTTTGCGGCAAAATACGTCCGCGATGCATATTACCGATTATGCCAACAGATAGAGGACACTTTAACGGACACGACAGTATCAACATTATGTACCTGGGGAGTAGGATAAGGGGGGTAAAATCGGTAAAAAGTAGTGTGCGCGCCACAAAAAATCTATTGCTGGCCGTTTTGCGGCAAAATACGTCCGCGATGCATATTACCGATTATGCCAACAGATAGAGGACACTTTAACGGACACGACAGTATCAACATTATGTACCTGGGGAGTAGGATAAGGGGGGTAAAATCGGCAAAATGTAGTGCGCGCGCCACAAAAAATCTATTGCTGGCCGTTTTGCGGCAAAATACGTCCGCGATGCATATTACCGATTATGCCAACAGATAGAGGACACTTTAACGGACACGACAGTATCAACATTATGTACCTGGGGAGTAGGATAAGGAGGGTAAAATCGGCAAAAAGTAGTGCGCGCGCCACATTATGTACCTGGGGAGTAGGATAAGGGGGGTAAAACCGGCAAAAAGTAGTAGATTTTAGCTCGAGCTCATGAACCCGATTTTTCAAGTCGCGGCCCAAATACCGGTTATTTCCGGATTCTGGGCTCGTAATACGATAGTCCCGAGCTCGTGAACCGCCCCCCCTTAGAGTTACTGTAGGCCAAATAAAAAGACATGATATATTCTAGGCAATCTAAGCCCTAGGCCCCTGGCCTATTTATGGTGTTAACACATTGAGTGCGGTGAAAATAAGTGTGCTCCCCCAGGGTCTGAAATTTTTCTTTTCATTAAGTTTAGAATCTTATTTTTTGTTTTCAAAAGTGAGGATCCAGGTAGGAAATTGTGTTTTGAGCCTTTTTTCTAAATACTGTACAAAAATGGTGCCCAAAATCTCCAGTCGGCGGTGACTGGGCCGGCCCGTGCAAGTTAAAATGTAATAAAACACCCTAAAAATGTTAAATTGCACTAGTTAATATTTATTATTTCCAATTATTTACAGTCCCTTCCTCCCTCCCATTCATTGTTTTTTTTTTCACTCAAACTGCGTATTGAACTGTTTGAAAAAATTCCTTATGCATAGCATAACTTAACTTAAGTTAATCCTGGATTGTCTTGTCATAAAAAAGAAACATAGGTAGTCTACTAATAAACAATGAACGATATTTTTATTTACTATAGCCTAAGTTAACAATATAAAAACACAAAAGAAGTACTTCAATAAATGTGCACTTTTTAAATTTGTAAGTAGAAATTTACAGGTCACAGGTGACTGGTGCCGGTCTGCGGGAACGGCGGGCAAAACACATACAATAGAGGTTAAAAGGTTATGCTAGTAACGCACATGCAATAGGCTAACTCCCGTCTACTCCTCAAGACCGCGCCACAATGATTGATTCATTTCTGCGGGACCTGGCCAAGCACCGGTGACCGGGCCGGCCTGGGCACAAGTTTCGTGCCCGCACTCAACGTATTACACAACACAAATAAATTGTAAATATCACTTAAGGTTGATCAAAGTGGAAAATTAAATTCTGGTCCCGATTCAACCAGTGGAATCGTTCTGCCAAATTTGCTCATACTGAACATAAAGGGATGAGTCATGACCTACTTACTTAGATTCCTCAGGAACATAAAAGAATGATTCTTATTCCACTATCCAAATATCCCTGTTCAAAATCATAAATGCCCATTTTATGGCAGCCTCAAGAATCTGTTCAAAAAAGCTATTTAGAAGAGTGACTCTTAAAAAAAATATTTAAAACTGCCGTTGGTTGAAGTAGAAAAAATTGCTTAGATCATTGCCTATTTGTGTACTAGCCTACCTAATTTATTTAATATTTTAGTTCTAAGTAGCCTACTTATGGAATTCCTTATTGTCAAATAGCCTATGCATAAGTTATTACTGTAATTAATTTGAATTGTTTTGCAGATAACTGGTTTGACCATTATTGTTCTATCGGTGTGGATGCTCACTGACCCCACATTCTACATGAGCATGGCTCAAGATGAGTCAAGCTACTACACTGGAATCTACCTCTTCCTGATCGTTGGGACTTTAATGTTCATTGTAGGGTTTCTCGGGTGCTGCGGAGCAATAAAAGAATCTCAGTGTATGCTTGTTTTGGTAAGTAATTGACTAATAATTTATTTATTATTTCTTACCTAGGCCTATATGTTCTTAACATCACAGATTGTTTTCTGTTGACCACATTGTTTATTTTTTCACATTTTGAAGTCACACAAACCTAAATTATTTCCTGATAAAAACAAGAGTAAGGTTTAAAAAAATGAGCCTACATATTGGTCTAAACAAAATTTAACACAATTCGGGAGTTCAAACACTACAACCCAATTAATTAGGCCTACAGCTGGGGCCAGTTTTAAAGAATCAAAAGCTTATCTATATAATTAACTAGCTGTACCCGGGGCTTCTTCATAAGTATTCGCATGGCTCATTCACGTCCTGGTTGAAGTTCGTTCGCTACGCTCACTCACCTTTAGGTTGGAGCTCGTTCGCTGCGCTCACTTGCCTTCAGGTTAGCTCGTTCGCTACGCTAACTCGCCTCCAGGTTGAAGTTCGTTCGCTACGCTCACTCACCTTTTGGTTGGAAATTAGCTGTTGTCATAAATTTAAAAAAAAAATAATAGTGCTGCACCCTGTTGGTAATCCTTGTAACTTTTATGCTATTGAACATCATAGAACAGAACCAACTTGTTTAATTGAAACAGCTGTTAAGATTCATTAATTACTTTTAAATGAAAAATCATAAGATTAACATGGGGAACTACAGAGCCACTGGGGCGGAGCCCGAAAGGGTTTTTGAGATAAGAATATGCTTTAATGTTAATCGGGAATGTGAGCTATCATCATGCCAAATTTCAGCCCAATCCGTCCAGTAGTTTATGCGTGATTGAGCAACACACACACACACAAACATACACACAAACTCACAAACTTTCAGATTTATAATATTAGTAAGATACGCTACATGAAACTTTGTTGGTTGAACTCCTCCGCCATTTCTTAACCGATTTTATACATTGACGTCTCATTGGAAAGGCGTGTCTTGTAGATTTGCAAACTGGCCTTAGATTTATTAAAATGTCCCTTGGGCTCTGCCCCAGTGGCTTTAAAAGTGCCCATGTTATCCTTATGAAGAACATAATTGTTTACATTTTGATCAGCTGTATAATTTAATTGCTGTTATTTATTTTTCAAATCAATGAAACACATTGGGTAGGCTACATTTATTTACTATTTGAGTTTGTGTAAACATAACGCCCAAGACGGATCGTGTTAGTATGGTTGTATCTTAAACTTGTGTATTTATTGTTGTTTTGTGTCGCTATGACGGATCGTGTTAGCATGATTGTAACTTAAATGTGTGCATTTATCGTTGTTTTGTGTAGCTATAATTTGTTTATTTGTTGTTTTTTTCTTTTAAATGCCTCCGACATGACAACAAAACATAGACAGGAGGCGTAATTGTGATAACAACCGCAGCTACAGAACAGTGGCGCGTAGTAGGCTTAACTCATTAAAATCATCACCTGACCCTGGACAATCTTAACTATTAGGTTACGAATGCGCCCTAACACTACCTCAAAACAACTTTTCGTTCTCAATTGGTCCTCTATCAATGACCTGTGTTGCCTGTAGCGAGGCATTTTGAGAAGGAGAAAACCGGCCGGAATGCTTTAGGATTATCAATAACGAAGATAAACATGGTCTGGGTTACACACCGGTAATCTTTGAGTTGACTCTTTTAAACTCATTGAAATAACTCCTGTAATACTTTGCAATTGCTCGAATTCGAGCAACATGTACACTAGTTGTTATTCAGGCTCGAACTGTCGACCCAGTGATGATATATATTTGTCTGGAATTACAGTTTTTCTGCCTTCTCCTGATCATCTTGGTGGCTGAGATATCGGCAGGCGCCTGGGCCTACAGCAACAGTCATCAGTTGGAAGAGTTGGTCAGGGACAGTGTGGAGACAACAGTGCAAGAGGAGTATAGCGTAGTGGACAGTCGTACACAGACTTTCGACGCCATACAGCAAGGCGTAAGTTTTGTTGTGGTTTTTTTTTTCTACAAATAAATCTTTATTTAATTAAGAGACTATCTTTTGTGATAGCCTAGTACTAGGTTTCTTGAATAAGCCTGCTTATGGTTTAATGCAATTTGAATTTTTTTTTTTGCCAAAATAAATTTGGTTTTGGAATGTCAAGCCAGGCGGATCGGATTATCCTACCCAGGGTTATCCCAGTGATTAACCATACTGATAAAAACCTAAATCATACATTTTGTAAAATAAAATTCCGAGTCTTGATTCCTCAAAATGTATGCCTACCATCAATTTTCAAAACTTTGTGATTTAATGTAAATTCCAGAATCTTCTGCAATCACAGCTTAATTGTGATCATGTTATGGGACCTCGGCAACGTTGTGGATTTTTTATTAATCAGACTTTACAGATAACTTCCGCAATTGCTTTAATATTCTGAAATTTTGTTGTAAAAAGTCTACATTTATTCTAAAAACAAAACAAAATTTTTAACCTGAAAAACATGGTTAGTTCATTGTCCTTTTTATGGAATGCCAGACACCCTGGGATAATTGTGGCTACTTTGTTGATCTATTCGATTATGGGTTTTTAATGAATAATTTTCCTTGTGTTCCAGTTGGGATGCTGTGGAGCTAACAGCCCTAGTGACTGGGTGAGCAGCAGGTTCAACAACGGAGGCAAACAAGGCATCAACCTGTCCATCTTATCTCCCATGAAGTTGTACAAATTGCCGGCCAGTTGCTGCGCGTTGCCGGAAGGCAGTGAGCAGTGTAAGGATCTCAAGACCCCTATCGTCCCAAACAACGAGCACGTCTATCAGGAAGTGAGTGTATTCTTTGCTGTAACTGTACAATTTCAGATAAATCTATGCTTGTACTTTCGGCCGTTGGAACCGTTTTTTCCGTTCACTCTGTAACTACGAGGTGAGAGGTTGCAGAGAGATGTCAACAACAAATAAATTTCTCAAAGTAATGTAGCCTACTGTATTTGTAATAGTTGTGTGTCTAGTTGACAAACTGTTTGAAACTCAGCTCGCTAAAACAATCAGATAATATAGTCAAATATAGATACCAAATGCCTGACATTTATTTTCTGGGTGCTGACAGGGGTGAACACAGAAATTATCAAGACTCATTTTATCAAGAAACTTCTTGCCCTCCCACTGCATGCGATCGTTTGCTGGGAGTGCTGGATGGAGTGGATAACACGAGAAATCAGAAATCCAATAAATCTGAAAATAAAGATTCTATTAGTACAAAGCTGTTTTTGGAGCAGGAATGCTTTGAAATAAGGTCATAGTTGCTGAGTAGATTGATTATTAATTGTTCATATACCGTAGGCCTAGTTTTAATCCAATGATTGGCTGTTGTAAATTATGAAACACAACAAATTTTAATCTTTTAAAACTTTTATGGAAGCTTATTTGACTAAAACAGCTAAAAACCGCTTCTAAATATCTTTGTAGCCTAAAATGAAAGTAAATAAAGAATAGACAACAATTTTTGAAAGTACCTACAAAACGGGTGTATCAGGGAGATGGCCTGCATCTCCTCTTTAACTTGGTGAGAAAAGATCTTAAAAACAAATCAACTTACTTTTGAAATTAGTATTGCCCAGACTACAGAAATAAATGTGCTATCCTTTGGGCTTGTGATGTAGCAATGGTTCTATTAATATCATTGAGCTTGTTGCAACAAGACAATCTGATATTGGTCGTTGTGAGTCAACGCTGTAATTTTCCCTGTTGTTAAATCACTAATACCTACACAGGTGAACTTTAGTAACTTAAATTATATTCTTTCAATTCAATTAAGGATGTGAATCACCAATTGTTTATTTCCAGGGATGCACAAAGAAGCTGCAAGATAAGCTGAGGGAATACATGAGCACTGTTGTTGGTATCGGAGTCGCAGTTGCGATCGCACAATGTCTCGGACTGTCTTTCGCTCTCGTGCTGTGCTGCGCGATCCAACAACGCGACCGCTACAAAGCATAGGACACACCGCATTGTAGTGTCAGCCACCTCACCTCCACCGACTCCGCCAACCAGCTGCGACGTGAGTTCATCTATTAACTTACGATTAATTACTTAACCTCTACTAATAAAGTAGTAAGCATTTAGTGTAACTGCCGATGCTGTTGAAGTTTGTAAAAAAGTCAGGCAGTTAGTAACGAGTTTTGTTATAGCTAGGGGTGTGCGAGTATTCGAACATCGAGCTTTTTCGAGCCGAATAGCGTCCTATTCGGCTCGGCTCGTGATTTTCAAAAAGTTCAAAATGTTCGAGCCGAATACTTATTGAACTAGCAAATAAAAATTAAATTAATAAATAAGGAACTAACTTTCATTTAAATTTACTCTCCGTTTCATAATTCTGTCTTGATAAGCAAGAACCTCAGCTCAGTCAAGATGCAATGATTATCGATCGTAATTTTGAGGAAACTACCACCTATCGCGTTGTCTTTCCAACACAACTATTCGTATCGTAATATACAACGCAGTGCGAGTGCGTGATTGGCTAAGTCGCTATGACGACACACGGTTGCCACGGCAACCTACATTGCGCACTGAGCACTGCGCCTTGTGTGGGAGGGGAGATTATACCAACAAACTATTTCAGGAATTCTATTTTGGGACGGATGAAAGATAAGGAAGAAACAAAGGTGGTCACGTGTGCAAATGTAGTGGGCGACACAATAAGGCTGTAAACGAGTATCGTCGTGTCGTTGTTCCTTGTTTGTTTATTTTTTAAGATTCCTTATCAAACGCCCCTATCTGTTATCTCTCTTTCTCTCTCTCTCTCTAACAATGTACTGATTAAACAAGATTGTGGTTGACGACTTTTCTACTTATAAGTTTCCCTGCGGTTATTTTAGTTCAATCAATCCCATAACCTTTCTAATGTTTATCAAAATAATTAATTAATATGTTTTGTATTTTATTTCCTTTAAACCAACCCCTATTTACCATCTGTATTTTATAGAATAAAATGTTTGTTTATAAAGTTTGACTGGCCACACAATTTTGTACCTATTTTATTTTGTATAAAAGTAACAGTTACTTTGAGGATTATATATATATCAATAAGTGGCGCGTGCTGTAATGAGTGCTTTTTATTTTCAAAATAAGTAATGAGTTATTAATTTTTGATAGTACGGGTCATTAAATACCATAATGTGATGTAGTTTCCTATTTGTATCTTGCAAATAATAATAATTGATAGTTAATTCTGAAAATGAAAAATAGTGATCGCATTCATAAACCTGTTGTCAAAACAGCAACGAGGGTTTTAGGGTTTTATTGTTTCAGACGCAAGGGTGTTTCAAGGACAAAGTGTTGGGCCACCCGGATGGGGGGGGAGGGGGCGTTGAGACTGTGTGAAGGGGAGGAAACTGGTTTTGGCTACTTATTGATTAGTTCGCCGACCCTTCTAGATGACAAAATTGAGTGACAGTGTTAAATCATCGTGTTCTGCATTTCATTTCTTGTTTACTTTGTGTGTTATTCTATTAATTCTAGTGCTTTGGTCTATTTCCTCTATATGTCAATTATATATTTTTTAATATATAAGTAAAACTTGTCTCTCCACCTTTTTGGATCCAAACCAACCATGTTCTTTTTTGATTAATAGGATTCATTTAGAGGTGTGCGGATATCCGAAAAATCGGGTCGGATTCGGTTCGGATATCCGTATCCAAACCGGGCCCAAATTCGATATCCGACACTATCCGTTATTTATCCGACTTTTTCGGATATACAATATATTTTGACGTTTTGGACAGAAAACTAAATCTCCATAGCTACCATTAGTTTCCCAGGACAAAATTACAGCAATACGTTTCCAACGACCTAACAGCAAACGGCAAAGAAGCCGTATGATGCAATACTGATAACTAGTTTAGTCGTTATCGGCTGTTTTGCTTTACGATTAGATTCGTCTGGAATGAACAGGCATAAAGCAAAAAAGAACTACCATGGTCAAATGAAAGTCAACTCGTGCTTGTCTCGCTCCTGATACTAGGGGCGCTGTAATAGTTTATTTACAGTACTGTTACAGTACTGTAAAGATAACAACGTCATTCTTTCTCTTTGTTCTTCTATTTCTTGGGTTTCCCTTCATCACGCATTCAACATGTTGTCATGGTTACTAATCACCCATGTCGTTATCAGCTTTTGTGACATAGCGCACAGCATGGGGTAAAACTTGAAGAAAATCGGTTAATTTTTACCTACCAATTAAGTACTACTTTATTGGTATTTGGTACTGTATTAATAATCGGTCAAAATGGCCGATTTTTGTCAAATTTTACACCAAATTTATTGAAATTTCAAGGTGAATATTAATAAAACAATTATTACCAAATATTTGTATTCATTTAAAAGATTGATTTGTTGTATTGGGTTCCCCACTGAGTGCAGCCGAGCGGCACTAATGAGGGTCGGACCTTCCTGCGGGTGAACAATAGACGGCTTATCAGACCCACCCCTCCCCCGTGGTCTGGAGAAAGCTTGTAAACAAACTATTGCACAAGCCATTGGGCTGCTTCAACTATAATTTTGTCAAATGAACTGTGATGTTTTAAAATCAAAAACAATAATTTGGGACCATACTGCTTAACAATAATGGACTGCAATTATTGTTAAACATACAATCCATTTTTACATTAAACAAAAATATTTTGTGCATGGAAAACAACAAGAATAATCACGTGTTTTTAAATTTATTTTGTATTTATTTATACAAAATAGAATTAAATATTCATAGTAGTTACAATATACATATGTAATCGACTTGCTAGTTGTTTTGTCGTCATTCAAGGTCGCGTTACTGTTCTGTCATGAAATACAATCTGATTGTCTCAGTCTGCACTGCATATCTCTTCAGGCCTTCAATCGATATCATTTTATTTCTTGCATCTTCATTTAGTTCAGTTCAGTTCTTATCGTGATTATCTACTATTTGATGTCTTGACAATTCTCAATGTTTTTAAACATATTAAAATAACATTGTGTTTATTTAAAAATTGACTGAACATTATTATTATTATGCACTTTTTTAAGAAAAAAAAGTTTAATAATTAAGATAAGGTTAGGCCTACGCTAGGAAAAGCTCGGCTCGAAAAAGCTCGAGCTCGAAAATTTTTTAAAAAGCTCGGCTCGGCTCGGCTCGAGGTTGAAAATCACTATTCGCACACCCCTAGTTATAGCTGATAATGTCTGTTGTATAGGACAGGAACGAAATTCCTATCAGTTTCATCCAAAGCTTATTATTATTTTTGAAAGTTTTATATTTTATTTTCGTCTTGTTCCTACTATTATTGTATAGCCTGGAGTTTAAAAGTTGGACTAGTCATGAGCTGAACGGTTTTTATTCTCACATATGTAGTTTTAAAATAAATATAATCTCTTTTTTTATTAAATTTGAATCAGTATTTTGCATTGGATCCAAAATATTTATGTTATCAAGTATTTGTATGTTTTTCATTGTAAGATTTAGTGTGTGTTTGGTAGTAAACTAAAAGATTAATTAAAACTGTTGTTGTAGTCAGTATACTTTGTGGTATATCTTTGGCAACTAATTGTTATATACTTTTATAAATATGAAGCTTTTATACAAATTAATTGATGGTTAATTTGATAATATTAAACAGTAGACATGATCTGATCCAATTTCCCATCATGCAATTTCATTTATTCAACACTGTTAATATTTGCCTTGAAATCCAAACCCTTGTCAGCGTCATAAAGACCTCATCTACAGTAGAACCCCTCATATCCAACCATGGGGCACGGTCGGAACGGCCTTAAGGTCGGATATCGGGAGGAGCATAACCTGCAGTCTCCGCGACATCGGTAATCATCTCCCGCGGCAACATCCGTGAGCGTAACTTGGAGTCTCCGCAACTTCGATAATCGTCTCTCGCCACTGCAGCAACACCCGTTATTGACGACAGTTGTGATTGTCTGCTGCGATTACGGCAACATCAACGATCAGCCTTTCGGTTTACCTACGTTTACATACGTTATCGCCCCAGATAGGAAAAATGTAGTTCAAATCAAAGTCAGACACTAGGTCGGATATCCCGAGGAGTAGGTTATTCCAAGGTCGAATATGAGGGGTGCTACTGTAGGCTATAAGCCATTGCTGTGTATTAATAGTTGAGTTGACATCCTATCAAAATCTCTCATTTCTCGAGGAATCAAAAATATCTGCAACCTTTATTAGGATGTAATGGCAGTTTATTATACAAAAACATTGTTAGTTGAATGGTATACCTTAGGCAATTTTGTACTTCGATTCAAAACCGCTCTTTCCAGCTCTCTATTGATTTCAATGTTTTTTTATGTGTGATTGAAAAATTACTCTAGACTTATAGATGTTTTAATCAAAAGAATACTCTACCTTTGAATGTGTTCAAATAGAAATGACAATTTTGTAATCAAAACTTTTATCTAGTATTGTAGTTTTTGAGATTTAATCAAATTGCACAAATCAAAGACTCGTGAAAACATAAAGGTTAGTTATTGTATTAAAAGCCATAACAGTGTCTTATATGGTTACCAACTATTAATAGCTGTCAAACCATCACAAAACAAAAACAACAAACAAAATAAATAAAAACCAACTGCTTTTTTCTTGAATCTATACAATTACCAACTATCCAATAAAACTGACTTTTGTAGTTTTCTATAATAACTAACCTAACTCATGTTTGTTAAGTAGGCTATACCAATTATTAATATGGTCAATTTAATGCTATACTGTATATTTTTATTATCTTATTTATATATTTGTATATACTTCGCCCGTGCCACAATACTTTAAACTTCTTTTATTATAACATTTACAAAGAGTTTTATCAAAATGAGTTTGAACATTGTGCCTTACATTTGTACGCACAATGGAATCAAAAACTTTCTCATTCATGTCATGTTTCGGTACCAATTTTGACTGTATGAAATCAAACTGCAGATCGCTACAAATGTATTTTTTACTTGAATTAATGAAGATTTTATTTGAAACACTTGTGCAAGATCTTCATTAAATTGCAAAAATGTATTACCTTTTCTGTACTGTAGGCCAAATTTTATTTACTTTTATATAAGCCTAATGTTATTTATTTTGAAGTTTAAATCTGTGAAATTCAAATATTGTGGAAGATTATTTGAATGTTCATAACCTTTCTCACTAAAAAATCTATCTACCAA